AAAAGAACATTCAAAAAATAATAAAGCTGGCCTTAGAAATAAGGAAAGGAAGAAAGCAGGCAGGTGATATTGACTTAAAGGAGTATAGGGTAGTCATACCAACACAAAATTATAATCCTATCATCTTCATTCTAATATTATAGCCTCATTCCCTTGAGCACTGTGTCTTTCAGATCCTTCTGTCATCAAGAATTCTGTTTTGAAAATAGAAAGTTTGGTACCTGAGGATTTTGTATATAATGGTAATTGACAGACTTGGGAGTTGAATTACTTCAGGACAAATATCAGGTACTAGTACGTTCTAGCTGCATGTTCTTGGGCAATTTAATGAACCTCTCTGTGCCTCAGCTTTCTCATCTGTACAATGAGCATAATAATAATAAATATGACCTCTTAGGGTTGTTGTGAGCATTAAATAAATACACGTAAAGCATTAGAACAGAACCTGACAAATGAGAGTTAAGTGTTACCTAATTAATTAGTTCATTCACTTATTCATTCATTCAGCAAACACGGACGGAAAACAAAGAAGGGTTATGAATCAGAAATAGTAAGAGCTCAAAGGAGAGAATGTTAAACTCAACTAGGACATGGTAAAAGAAAACTAGGAACTGTGGAATAAAATGAAATAAAAACTGCAATCTTAGCTTACTTTGCCAAACAAGGGTAAGTTTATATAAAAGGAAAACTAAGATTCTTTATGTCTAGTTTAAGTTCTTAGTCCTCAAACCTATACAGTTAATGTTATATCACCATCTCAATTTTAAGGTCTCCCCATCAGAAATAACCTTACAAGGGGTTCTTCAGTGTTTCCAGACACCTGAAGATGTCTGCCTGTATAGAAACTGATAAGACTTTTCAAACCTGACGTTAGTTTACAGAAATACTTTTAGCAGCATTGAACAGGTCCTATAACCTCTCCTCTCCAAACTCCTCTTCCAGAGAAGGACCTTGACTAAAAGAAAAGTTTCCATAATGGTGAGTATAGGGCCCCTATTCCAAATATTTACCTACTATTAATAATTTGTTACAAAGTAGCCACTAAGTAAGCCAAGCCAAGAATTCTCTCAGCCTTGACAAAAGGTTACCTTTGCTTTTGAAAAAGGGAAGCAATTCTTTATTTGGTGTACCACCCTCCCCACCAATTTTTTTTTTATCCACTAACAGGAAGTAAACTGAAAAAAGCATTATATGTGTGTGGCGGGGGTGGTCGGCTGGGCTAAAGCAGAAAAGTAATAAAAAGTGTTACATAAGAGGAAAGCAAGAATCTTCTGACTTTGATAATAGATACTAGAGAAAAGACAAAATCCATGTACTGACGAAATTTTGTCTATTACGTCACAGAGTTAGGCTATTCATGTAAATTCGAGGTGTTAATCCCATCTTCTTAAGTAAAAACTAACATAAAAATTCTCTAAATATTAAATTTCTAGAAAGAATAATAGCC